AAGGTCAAGGTCATTGTCAAGGTCATAGTTCAATCAGCCCCTTCATATCCAACAATTTTTGTTTTGAACATTTTTTTATTTAATCGCGACGTTTCGAGTTATTTGGCTGTCTAAGTTAAAATGGGTCACCCTGTATATACATTTATATTCAGGATATTTGGCAAAAGGAAAAAGAATTAAGAAGTTAAATTAATATTTTTATTGGTCCCTTAAAGAGTTACATTGATTTAAGGAGTTTTATTCTAGATTCTAGATGATGACACGCCTGCAGCCGAGTTGCACATTTCGACCGATTTTGCCTATCACCATCCTTACTCTTTTTGTTTCATAGCATTTAAATCATGCGCAGAGACATTAAACGTTCAAACTCAAAGATGACATTAGCCGTAACTCATACAGGGCACTATAGAGCTATAGGACTTTGAAACATATTGCCTCACATTCACTGTTCACAAATTTTTATTATTGTAATTATAATTATAATTATTATTATGATGTTAGAAACTCAATTTATTATGTTAAAAATAATTAAAAAAATTTTTTTTCAGTATACAAACTTCATTAACATACGTGTTCTATTTTGAAGTGTTACTTTTGAGTTTCTAACATAATAATAATAATAATAATTTGTAAACAGTGAATGTGACACAATATGTTTCAAAGTCCTACAGCCCTCTGAGTTACTAATATCATCCCTGAGTATGAGCGTTTTATGTTTCTGAGCGTGATCTAAATGCTATGAAACAAAAGGAGTGGGGATAACGATAGGCAAAATCGGTCGAAATGTGCAACTCAGCTGCAGGCCTGAAATAAGAAATCAAGAATAACAAAATTGTGATACATTTTATTACATACATATATATATATATTATAAATGTTTAAATATTCATTTGCATGTTAGACACCTTTACATAAATATTTAAACATTTAGAATTTAAAAAATTAAACCAATATCTCAATTTTGTTATTCTTGATTTTCATCTTATTTTATTATTTAGAATTATTCCTAAAATTTTCTCCGACCTATCATCAAACACTCTGCAATTCGATTTATAATAAAGTATAATTAGCTTATATAATAAGTTATACTCACTCACATTGTCTTCACATTTTCTGTGTAAGGTCTGAAAAGAAAAATATTTCGAACTTCATATGATTTTTTCATATATGCAGAACTAATTTGTTTGCCAATTGACAATGCTCCATCTTTCACATAAATTAAAGAAATCGTCCCTTTATGTTTGTCATACCAACTATCAAATATCAGTGCTCGGAAGGGCTTATCTCTAGCTACCGTAGGTGGTGGAATTCTTTCAATTACAGCATCTAGAACTTCATTGATACCAGTGCCCAACTTGGCAGATATCTTTATAATATCTGTATGATTTACATCAAGTAACATTTGCAACTGCTCCTTGACCTTCTCGGGATTGGCATTCTTCAAGTCCACTTTATTAATTACTGGAATTATTACAAGATTCTTTTCTCGTGCTAAATAGTAATTGGCTACCGTTTGTGCTTGAACACCATCATTAGCATCAACCAATAGTATAACCCCTTGACAAGGAGCCAACGATCGATGAACCTCTGCTGAAAAGTCCACATGTCCTGGTGTATCGATGAGATTCAGAAGATATTTTTTGCCTTGATATGAATAAAACAGTGATGCTGTCTGTGCTTTTACTGTAATTCCACGTTCTTTCTCCACTTGTAGATTATCCAGGATCTGCTTGCCAGAGTTTGCCTTTATAGCACCTGTTAATTCCAGCAATCTGTCCGCTAATGTACTTTTACCATGGTCGACATGTGCGACTATACTGAAGTTACGAATGGCTTCAACTGGTACATTGTACTCTGCATCGGTCGTCGTTTGTGTAGAGAAATACCTGCTTAATGAATACGTCCATTCTCTGGAACAAGATAAAAAAATTGGTTTTCAATTAGTTAAATGAAGTTTTTTTTCTTTTAAATCAAGAATGATTTTGTAACCTTTGATGTTTGAAAAGTCTCGCATTGCGAACGGCACGGATGATTTCGATGTACAATGAATTCAATATAACATTACGCATTTTTATGCGTGACATACTAAGCAAAAGTTGTATATTAACATAAGTTGATCCCAAGCGGTTGTGATGTTATATTTAAATTTCGTTCGGGCGGCGTAGCCACCCGAACCCAAGCATTACTGTCTATACACCCCACTGTCTACATGGGTTACAAATATTCCAAGGGGACACTGTCTAAGCACTACTACATACGTTTAATTTTATACCATTGATTTTAAATTTCGTGCACTCTGACCGAAACGAAACCAAGCGCATGCGCATGAAGTCAGAGAGCATGAAGAAGGCATACTCGTAGGTTGTGTTCCAAAATTGTTTGTCAGCGCTGCGAGCATGTCGTCATTAGAGACCCTTTACTAGAGACTGATCATTTCGGGACTTTTGCTGATTGGTGCACGTGACTTCAGCACACTAATGGCGG